TGACCGAAGGGTTAGCCAATCTAAAGCCGCGCCCAGCTGCACCTTGCACACAGATTTTCCAGCTAATTGACCACGATCTGTGTACTTGCAGCCTGAGAGCGATTGTTACTGGGTTAATTACGCAATTAACCCTTCACACTGCCACCGCCTCCTTTTTGTACAGAGAAAAAGGAAACTCCAGCAAGGCTCCCAACATCCATCCACTACACATCTGCATCAGAGGCTGGTCAGTAGCTCTGAGGAAATGGATTTGTCCCCGAAACGCATCAGCCATTTGACCACACTGACAGTAGGAACACCTTGCTTGCCGTTGTGGCCATCGTCATTATGCAAATGCTTTTTAGATACATGCTTCGTCTGTGAGTATGTTTTTATTTTTCAGGGTGATCCTCTCCAGTCTGGAGGACCGATTCAGGGCACTGGCATGGCAGATTTGTTATCCACAACCTCCCAAGTTTCATTGGATGAGTCCTTCCATGTTTCTGACAGGAGTAAAGTCCCTAAAAAGGTCATGTAGATGTGGAATGTATTGAGATGTCCAATACATTGTTAGAAATGCTGGAATAGGTAAAGGTACATTCCCTGTACACCTGTGTGTCTCCACCACAGTCGGGCCAGGTGGTACTACATAGTACCAATGGATAGAGCCAGGTGGTACAAGATGTGTTGGGTATCCTTCCATCATCCGTCCACTACACATCTGCATCAGAGGCTGGTCAGTAGCTCAGAGGAAAGGGATTCGTCCCCGAAACGCGTCAGCCAATTGACCACACTGACAGTAGGAACACCTTGCTTGCCATTGTGGCCATCGTCATTATGCAAATGCTTTTTAGATACATGCTTCGTCTGTGAGTATGTTTTTATTTTTCACTCCTTTCAATAAACCTTGGATAATGCACTAGGTGTGTGCGCCACCTGTTTATTCTCTATCAGGTTATACAGAGGTTTAAAACACACACACAGTAGCGCTTTCCAGAGGCAGGGGTTCTCAGTTTGCATTAAAGAGCTTTAGAAACAGTTCAACACTTTCAGACAGTAAGATTTATTACTAAAAGGTCAAAAGGGTGCAATAAAAATATTTACATAAAAAGATGTAGCCTATATATATATATATATACACACACACAGTTGCAAGAAAAAGTATGTGAACCCCTTGGGATTATGTGGAGTTTTGCATGAATTGGGCATAAAATGTGCTCTGAACGTCATCTAAGTCACAACAATAGAAGAACACAGTCTGCTGAACATAATACTACACAAACATTAGATGTTGCCATGGTTTAATTGCACATAACATGTAAACATTCACAGTGCAGGGAGGAAAAAGTATGTGAACCTTTGGACTTAATAACTGGTTGACCCTCCTTTGGCAGCAATAACCTCAACCAAACGTTTCCTGTAGTTGCAGATCAGACCTGCACAACGATCTGGAGTAATTTTGGACCACTCCTCTTCACAAAACTGTTTCAGTGTAGCAATATTCTTGGGATGTCTGGTGTGAATCGCTCTCTTAAGGTCATGCCACAGCATTTCAGTCGGGTTGAGGCCAGGACTCTGACTGGGCCACTCCAGAAGGCGTATTCTGTGCTGTTGCAGCCATTGTTTTGTTGAATTACTTGTATGCTTTGGGTCATTGTCCTGTTGCATCACCCATCCTCTGCGGAGCTTCAGTTGGCGGACAGATGGTCGTACGTTTTCCTGCAAAATGTCTTGATAAACTCTGGAATTCATTTTCCCATCAATGGCAACAATCCGTCCAGGCCCTGAGGCAGCAAAGCAGCCACAAACCATGATGCTCCCTCCGCCATGTTTTACAGTGGGGATGAGGTTTTGATGTTGGTGTGCTGTGCCTTTTTTTCTCCACACATAGTGTTGTGTGTTTTTCCCAAACAACTCAATCTTGGTTTCATCTGTCCACAGTATATTTTGCCAGTAGTGCTGTGGAACATCCAGGTGCTCTTTTGCAAACTTCAAACGTGCTGCAATATTCTTTTTTGGACAGCAATGACTTCCTGCGTGGTGTCCTCCCATGTACTCCATTCTTGTTTAATGTTTTCCTTATTGTAGATGTGTCAAGAAAAATGTTAGCATGTGCCAGAGATTTCTGTAGGTCTTTAGCTGACACTCTGGGATTCTTCTTTACCTCATGCAGCATTCTGTGCTGTGCTCTTGCAGTCATTTTTACAGGACGACCACGCCTAGGGATAGTAGCAACAGTGCTAAACTTTCTCCATTTGTAGACAGTCTGTCTTACCGTGGACACATGAACATCAAGGCTTTTGAAGATACTTTTGTAACCCTTTCCAGCTTCATGCAAGTCAACAACTCTTGATCTTAGGTCTTCTGAGAGCTCTTTTCTGCGAGGCATGGTTCACATCAGACAGTGCTTCTTGAAACCAGTAAACCCAAAACAGGTGTGTGTTTTTTAAGGGCAGGACAGCTGTCAGCAACACATCCAATATCATCACACTGATTGGAGTCAAGGTTGGCTCACTCCTGGCTCCAATTAGCTCTGGGAGAAGTCATTAAGCGAGGGCCTCACATACTTTTTCCTCCCTGCACTGTGAATGTTTACATGTTATGTGCAATTAAACCACAGCAACATCTAATGTTTGTGTAGTATTATGTTCAGCAGACTGTGTTCTTCTATTGTTGTGACTTAGATGACGTTCAGAGCACATTTTATGCCCAATTCATGCAAAACTCCTCGTAATCCCAAGGGGTTCACATACTTTTTCTTGCAACTGTATATACAGAAAACAATAGCACAGCAAAGAGATAACAGAAAGGAATTTAGGGAGGTAAAGTACTTGCCAAACATCCTGGTTTAAGCAGATCAGGTTTCATGAGCCAAAAGGATGCCTTATCTCCCAACGTTAGTTCCGATGTTAAAAAGGGAGAATTCTTCAACTCCCTCAACTCAGCTTGGTTTAGCTTTTCTAGGAACTTCACAGGGTGTATCCCTGACTCAGAGAACCAATCACCTCATTTGGGGAGGGGGTTGGGTAGGCGGGGAGCTCAGGCTTTGACCAAAGCCTTCAAAAATTATACTATGGCCAATAACGTTTCCTAGGTACATATAACATTCTATCCACGAGTAGATTAATACCCAGAATCATCTGCTGAATGGTTAGATATGAAATATCTGCTTGAATGGTTAAGGAGATATGATTTTCTGCTCTGCTGTGTATGTCAGATAGGGGGTGTAATATACTAGGCGACTTGTCTTACAGTGAGCCATCCGAATATGTGTTCCATGTTTGTGTAATTATTTCCTGTTTGGAGATATAAAATTATATGGAAAAGTGGGTTTTAAAATGTAAGTCTGTTTTACGACATCATGGAATGTCTTTTGAAGCTCAGTGAGGGCTCGGTTTATGGCTTGACGACACCTTCTCCAGCAAGAGTCTCCTAGACAGAGGGGCACCAGCTAGTTGTGAGATTTATAACCATGACACCCTCCTAATGAGTTTGTTGCCTGTGATCTGCATCAAACAGACCACATGTCACTCAACATAGAGGGAATGAGGAAAACTGATTTGGGAGAGAGAGATACAAAATGGAGGGGTTTGGAGCAAAATGGATGACCGCGTCCATTTCTGTGCGCACGATTGCTAAGGGTGTACCTAGAAGAGCACCTGAGAAAAGGGTTGGGCCTATGTTGCCGACAGCTGGCACAGAGGTGGGGGGGATGTGACAGTGCGAAGCTCTGACACTATGAAAATAGCCAGGGAAAAGGCACAGAGTTAGCATGTCTGCTTACTGCAATGCTACAGAGCATAGACTTGGAGTGGATAAAACTTCTGTTTCATCTTGGTATTGCCTACCTACAGAGAAAGCGAGCGAGCCAGAGCCTAAATAGCAAGTGGTCTGGAAGACCAAAACAAGCAGAGGTACTGTTAACCAGAAAGCCAGGTGGCTTGGTATTTTTCGTTTGTTTGCTGAATGAAGTTGAAACCCCTTCATGGGAATCCTAGAAAAAGTGGGCTACCAGGCCCTTAACTATAATACCGGTGTGACATGGACTCGCTGTATAAAAATTGTATCTATCACTGAGCTAAACATCCCCCCATACACTATATTGCCAAAAGTATTGGGACGCCTGCATTTACATGCACATGAACTTTAATGGCAACCCAGTCTTAGTCTGGAGGGTTCAATATTGAGTTGGCCCACCCTTTACTACTCTTAACAGCTTCAACTCTTCTGGGAAATCTGTTCGCAAGGTTTATGAGTGTGTCTATGGGAATGTTTGACCATTCTTCCAAAAGTGCATGGGTGAAGTCAGGCACTGATGTCGATTGAGAAGGCCTGGCTCACAGTCTCCATTCTAATTCATTCCAAAGGTGTTCTATCGGGTTGAGGTCAGGACTTTGTGCAGGCCAGCCAAGTTTCCCACCCCAAACTCTCTCATCCATGTCTTTGTGGACCTTGCTTTGTGCACTGGTGCGCTGTCATGTTGAAACAGGAAAGGGCCATCTCCAAACTGTTCGCACAAAGTTGGGAGCATGAAATTGTCCAAAATGTCTTGGCATGCTGATGCCTTAAGAGTTACCTTCCCTGGAACTAAGGGGCCAAGTCCAACCCCTGAAAAACAACCCCACACCATAAGTTCCCACCACCCCCCCCTTCACCAAACTTTACACTTGGCACAAAGCAGTCAGGCAAGTACTGTTCTCCTGGCAATCACCAAACCCAGACATGTCCATCGGATTGCCAGAGAAGTGTGATTCGCCACGCCAAAGAATACATCTCCACTGCTCTAGAGTCCAGTGGCGGTGTGCTTTACACCTCTGTATCCGACGCTTTGCATTGCGCTTGGTGATGTAAGGCTTGGATGCAGCTGCTCAGCCATGGAAACCCATTCCGTGAAGCTCTCTACGCACTGTTGTGCTAATCTGAAGGCCACATGAAGTTTGGAGATCTTTAGCTATTGACTGCAGACAGTTATCGACTTCTGTGCGCTTCAGCATACACTGACCCCCACTGTGTAATTTTAGGTGGCTGAGTTGCTGCTGTTCCCAGTTGCTTCCACTTTGTTATAATACCACTAACAGTTGCTCGTGGAATATTTAGTAGCATGGAAATTTCATGGATGGACTTATTGCACAGGTGGTAACCTATCATGGTACCCTGCTTGAATTCACTGAGCTCCTGAGAGAGACCTGTTCTTTCAAAAAATGTTTGTAGAAGCAGTCTGCATGCCTAGGTGCTTGATTTTATGCACCTGTGGCCATGGAGGTGATTGGTACACTTGAATCCAATGATTTGGAGGGGTGTCCCAATACTTTTGCCTATAGTGTGTGTATATACTGTATATATCTATCATCAAAGTGCCGCACTTCACTATATTAATAAATACTATGTGCCAGAATACAATATTGGTGCATTATGTAATCACCAGCATTATAAATATAATGTCCATGAACATCCATGTGTGGAAATAATTCCAAAAGATAATCCCTTTTCCACTTGAAGCATTTCTTCAGTTATGAGTTATCATCTTCCACCACTGTTTGTGCCAACATAATAATGATTTTTGCAACATGGTGGCACACCACCCTCCACCAGATGTGCTTTCAGCTTAAATTTATGACCAAACCGTTAAGTGAGGTCGTATAGTGCTTATGCCCATCTAGTAGGACTGATCTGTGTTCCCAGTGGGGTCAGATGAAACCACATTCCTTATATTTCCAACTCTCCTTTTCCTGCAGCCATTGGTGCAGAGGACAAGAGCATATATATGGGAAAAGACACCAACATAGTGCTTATCCTTTTTTAAAATTCTGTTTATATAGATAATTCCCAATAAATGAACTCGTATTTACAAGGTGTCTTCGCGAACCACACTATATTGCACATCAAGTAAAATCCAACCATGTACATGCACCGATCAGTGAACAGCCAGCTGATATTTACCCCATCTCACTAAACCTCGAGCGTCGCGTCGTCAAGCCACTCCCCTACGCGTTACGCCACATGGCTTCATCGGGGAAATGATTGGACAGCACGGCGCTCACTCCTATATAAAGGTGATCCAGACGCCAATTTGTTGTAGTACATCATGTCATTATCAGCGCCATTTTCTCATGGTCCATGAGTCTTCTTCTAACACTATTCTCTAGTGTTCATGTATGCGATCTACCTGAGTAATTGACGGTATCTAAATGTGCTATTTTGTTGAGATCTATCTTTATCCCTCCTATATACTTTGTTGTAGGTAATCCTATCTTTTAAAAAATTTGAAACTAAAAATCTCCTAATGATCATATCACTATGAATCACCCATAGTGTTCCCTGGTGTTGGTAATGGGATACTAAAGATATAGAGCTATACCTCTATATTCAACCATTTGTAGACTACTTCTATAGATGGTGAGTAGAGCATAAAGCTAACAGTTGTACAAATTAAATCATCAATAATCCAAAATCACAATTAAGAGCTAAAAAATATATAAATTAGGTAAAACGTAAATAAAAATGAAAATTAAAAAACAAAAAAATAATCAGTAACCCATTATATTAATAAAATTACCTCCGTATGCATAGGTTTCTAAATGCGAAGACCCTATATAAAATTATTTATCAATATGGGTTTATTTTATAATCCACACCATCTTTCAACTAAAACTGAAGTTCAGTGTAGTGGAACTGAGGAGATTACCATATAGATCAGTTATTGCTTAAAAATCAATAATTGCTTAAAAAGCAGGTCATATCAGAGCCTTTGTTTAAGCCTCTATGTGCCAAGCTTTTTAATTCATGGATCCACCATGATTCCCTCTTACTAAGTTCCCTAATAGTGTTGTCTCCTCTCCAGTGGCTACTATGTTTCTCTATGCCCCAAAATTGTAATTTGCTTGCATCTTCATTATGCATCAAACAAAAATGTTTCGACAAATAATGGTTAATAAACCATCTTTTTATATTATAAACATGCACCTTTTATTCTAACTTTGAGGACTCTTTTGGTTCTCCCTAGATAAATCAGATTAAAGGGACATTTTAGGGCATAGATTACTCCTTTTAGTTTTCACATGATATGAATTCCTTAATTTTATATTCCTTCCCTGTTACTGGATTCTCAAAGGAGTACCTCGGGTGTTGTGGTAAGATGTTCACCTTGTTTCAGTATCTGCCAGTGTTTGCGCACAATGTGCTCTACCATCTTATACTGTGTATTATAGCCCAGCACTACCAGTAATCCCTTTTCATCCTTCTCATCATTTTTATTCTTATTCTTTTAAATGAGTAAATACCTATTAATCTTTCTTACTTTTTTCTTTCTTTCTCTAAAAATTCTTCCTGATATCCTTTTTATATAAATCTAGCAGCAATTTGCTTACTCTGTTTAGTGCAATTGCGTTTGATACACATAAACTGTCCTCTGGGTATATTTCTGAGCCATGGTTTGAAATCACAGTTGGTAATGGGGATGTAAAGAGTTTCTGTTCGTACTCTTAAAATATGTTCTGGTGTAAATCACGTTCCTTTCTTTAATTATTTCTAAATCCAAAAATTGTATTGTATGTTTGCTAATCTCCCAACTTAATTTCATATATTTATTAAGATTCTCTAGGAATTCATATAGTAGTTCCTGTTCTCCTCCTTTTCACAATATGATTAAATCGTCTAATGAATCTCCTGTATAGAGTTAATTCCTTTTTAGTATTATTAAAGACCGTTTCCTCCTCCCATTTAGCAATATAGAGGCTTGCTATGCTGGGTGAAAACTTTGCATCCATAGCTACCCCAGCATGTGCAAATAGTACTCTCCTTGGTACCAGAAATAATTATGCTTTAGGCAGAAAGTCAGACATTTTATAATGAACTTTTTATGTCTAGTTGTAAGTGTTGGATTTTTATCAAATACCCTTTATGCTGTCTCAATAGCTCCTTCGTGATCGATATTAGTATAGAGCAGGGTTATGGAACCCTTGGGTTCCTCCAGAGCTTGCTAGGGGTTCCTTGAGCAATGAGCAATGTCTGCCTGTCAGATAAGTTCCTCTTGACACCATTGATCTTTTTAGCTATCTGTAATGGAATAATTCTTCTCAGTGACCACAAGTGTAAGGAACATTTTTCCCAATGACCATCACATGAATGCATCATGAGTTTGTTATAGTAATTTTTAGCAGGGGTTCCCTGAGACTGGAATGTTATTTCAAGGGTTACTCTGTGCTGGAAAGGTTGAGAGAGGCTGGTATAGAGTGATGATACATCAACAGTTACCAAGGTGGTGTCATGTGCAACCTTATTATTTTGTAACAGCTGTATAATGTGCTTGGTGTCTTTGAGGTATGCTCTTGACCCCTGCACCAATGGCTGCAGGAAACAATCCACATACTCTTCCAATCTGGCTATAAGGGAATCTGTCCCATTGATAATGGGTCTCCCGGGTGGATGTTTGTTGTCTTTTGTGAATTTTCAGGACAATATATATTACTGATAGTCTGCATAAAGATGGGACTAAATACTTTTCCTCTGTTTTTATTTAATATACCTTTTTTTCCCTTCCATATATCACAATATTTTTTCTAATTCTATTTTATATGTGAAAGTAGGGTTTTTCTTCAGGATTTGATGGGTATTTCCATCCCCTATTATTTTCTCCATTTCTTGTTTGTACTGGTCCTTGGTATAACAATACACCCCCCCCCCCCCCCCCCCCCCCTATCCGCTGTGTGAATAGCTATATCTTTTCTTTCTTACAGAGCTTTAATACCCTTCTTAATATCCCATGTTTCTTCCTGTATTTTTTTAATAGGTAATTTTTTTCAAATTCTCTATAACTAGTTTTTTGAACATGCCTATAATAACGATTGTCAGTAGCCACTGGGTTAAAAGTTGACTCAGTATAGTATGAAATTCCCCCTCTTGTGCCTCATCCTGCCTATGCATAACCACTGGATTCTGTGCATATTACTTTTTTCATAATAATGTTACGCACCAATTTTTGAATACTCCCATAAGTATCAAATTTATTGAGCCCCTTCTTGGGGGCAAACGTTAATCCTCTGTCCAAAACTTGTATATCTTCCTTTTGAGATTTACCCCCACTAAGGCTGAAGATCCCCTCCTCTAATACTCCCTTCTTTTTTTGTTGTACTCTTCTGCCTGCCTTATACCCATACCCTTGATCATAATTTCTTGGGTGTGCATGATCATTGTTGTTTAACATAATGGGGTCTGTGTAGGTTACCTTTTTATATTGATTCCCCTGGGGTCTGTTTTCTCCATACTGTCTTGCATATTGTGGTGTCCTGTGAGGGGACCTCTGATATTCCCCTCCTTATATTTCTGGAAAATATATTTGTCCTGCCTTCTCTGCAGTTATGGAAGAGTTACAGAGGATTACAGGCAGTATAACCTTTGATATCCACACAGTAAAGAGTCGATGATTGATAACCGATGATCTTTTACTGATAACATGTGACATAATGAGAATGCGCGTGAATAAATGAATGTGGATAAATGCGGTAAAACTGAAATACAAACAGAATAAACAAACATAAGTACATATCTAACTTCCTAGCTATGTGCATAACATTCCTCAGTATATAGGAGGGGTACTTACAGACTTTGGGAGTCTAATCAAGCCCATATATGAAGAGGGAACAGCATCCCACATGTACTTGCATTGTAGAATTTCTTCAGTCTGAAGAGATGAGGTCACTTCCTCCCAAGTTAGCAGACAGGAAGTCTCAGGCCTTAAGGGGACAGACACTGCTGAATGCTAAAGAATGCCTTGTGTAATACAAGGCAGCACACTCCCCACCTGGCATAATAATGATATGCCACTATTAAACTCCTGGAAGGAGTAAAACGACTTCCGTGATGGGTCTAAGGTACACCTTAGGGGTGCCCTGTTTTACTACTCTGACCTCTACTTTCCTGACTCTGCTATCACTACTAGCATCAGTCCCCACAATGAGTCCAATTGGCCACTCGTTCCTGTGGGCCTGAGAGTCTTTTAGTAGAACAACATCTCCCACTTGTAAGTTGGGCTTGTCGGCTTGCCATTTGTTGCGTGGTTGGAGGGTCGTCAGGTACTCCTGTCTCCATCTCTTCCAGAAGATATCGGCAAGGCTTTGAACTTGTTTCCATTGCTTGGTGTACAAGTCTTTAAGATCAAAGTCCCCGTTGGGAGCTGTCACCATCTCCATCTTCTGGGTCAGCAACGTTGCCGGTGTTAAGACGGTTGGCATC